AGCATCCCATATGTTCCCAAGCATGCAAGAAGTGATTCCTGAGTATAGAGCCAGGTATAACCCCCACCATGAGTATAACCCCACTCTCCCCCAAAATTAATGCAGGCAAGAGAAAAATAATCCCATCAAAAAAGTGAAGGGAATGTGTAGGTTGATTGGTAGTTACACAATTATGTAGGTGGAAGGTCTCAAACATACACTGCTAAGGAAGTAAGTATATGCACCAAAACCAGAGATGGCAGTTAACAAATAATGGGTGTGGGGTGGGAGGGTAAGGCACGTAGGAGCACAGGGCACAAAGGGATGGGGGACAGTTATGGCCATTGTGGTGGAAGTGGTGTGCAGTAATTTTGAGTATCAATACTATAAATTGGAATGCTTTTACCTCAAGTATTGTAATTACCTCAAAAATAATTTTAAAAATTTAAATAAAATTTAAAAGTAAAAGAATGAAGGCTTATCGAATATTTTATAAGCCTCTCTGTCAAGATCTGAATTTAGGTCTCTTAGATGTCTGGGTTCTGCTCCTTTGGAAATCAAAGGCAACAGGATAACTTCTTACTTGGTGCTCCTAGAGCATCTTTGAGAAACTTGAAAGCACTTAGCAGCTTTGGTGAAGTCCAAGACAAATAACCAAAATATAATAGATGTAAATGGAAATAAAATTTTATTATAATTTTAATGAGCACTGGCTTTCCATAAACAAAAACAAGAGTTAGAAATGAAACAAAAGGCAATAACCATAAAATGATATAAATATACAGATTATGATAACTAAGAAAAATAGTCACTTATGTTGATATGGATTACTCCTGAGAATTGCCTAGTCAAAGGAATCCATCTTCATTTCATCAGCCACAGATGTTATCTACAAATGGCAACAAGGAAAGCTGACATACTAGGACTAGAGAAGTTAGATAGAAACTAGATAAAATGTATTTTATGTATATTTTTATGTATATTCATATTTATGTATATTCATATAGGTTTATATTTTTTTCCTCGTAACATTTGTAGTTTGATAAGAGTAATATTGATCTCATAGAAAGAATTAAGAACCTTTATCTCTTCATCCAATTTTTTGGAAAAGTGTATAGAGAATGAGTTCAAACTTTCTTCAAATGTTCAGTAGAATTTACTAGTGAAACTGTCTAGGTCAGGGCTTTTTCTCTGTAAGTAGGTTTTTATAATGACAAGGGTTACTGTTATCATTACTAATTGTACTTATTTGTTATGAAATTATTCAGATTTTCTATTGATGATAGTTTTTGTCTCCTGGCCCTGCCCCTGGCTGTCCTCACTGGGGTGCCTTGGAGGGGGGAGGGTTGAGTTTCTCTCCCCCCTCCCCGCCCCGAGCAGAGCCCCAGCAGCTGAGGACCTCCGGAGCCAGCCACGGCCATGCTGGACCACTCTCCACAAGTCCGGATGGGCCTCATTCATGAAAGAACTGGCAGAGGAACCCAGGCATGCGGGTCCGGGGGCTGAGTTCTCCAAGCCTACTTGGATTGGGACTGGGCCTTCTCCACCCAGACCCCCCATCTTCCAGTAGGTAGGCGTCACACCCACCAGCTGCCGCCAGCGCCAGGCTGGTCCCATCATTGCCCAAGACACAGAGACTAAAACCCAGCTCCCGGAAGACATCTTATTATCTTTTTTTTTTTTTCCGTTGGAGAACCTGGCAAGCTACCAAAAGTATCCTGCCCGCACGGCAGAGTCTGGCAAACTTCCCGTGTTGTACTCAATATGCCAAATACCAGTAACAACGATGGGTCTCATTCTCCTAATCTTGAAAGAGCATTTTAATGGCTCTTTTAAAATCTCAGGGCTAGGAAGAAGGAGACGTTACTGGTGCCTCCTCAAGGAAATCGACGAACAACAGGGTGATCGTGATCGTGATAGTTTTAGTAATTTATATTTGTCTAATGTTTATATTATTAATTTTTTCATGCTTGAAAATAACATTCTCATAATCTACTATATAGAAAGTCAGTTGTGAGCCTTCATTTATTCTTGAATTTAATTTGTATTATTTTTCTCTTCCATCTGTAGGGATAAAATTTTAACAAATTCTATGATCAACTTTGGTTTTACTGACTTTTCTTCATCGAATCCTTTTTCTCTATTTTCTTTATTCTCATTAAAGTTTTTAATCCTGTTGCATGATTACTTTGTGTTTATCTTCTTTAGTTTCTGGAATGTACTCTTTGCTTAAGTTTTTAAGATAATTCCTCTGTTCTGAAAAAATAATACCAACTTACATCTCTTTATAAGGACAGCTTAAACGTCAATCAATAAATTTGAGTAAGTTTGGTTAAAATTTTATTTATATAATGAATGCTACACAGATCTAATCTTATCTGGAGATTTTTATTTTGAATCATTGATTAAGTAGAGTCAGTTAATTTTCATATGTTAATGATTTTCATATGTTAATGATGTTCAAGAAGGGAGACATCCATGACATTGGCAACTATTACCTGATCTGCCTATTCTCTGTCATCTACAAGTTGTTCACTCGAGTCATCCTAAATAGGATTGGCAGAACACTAGATGAAGGACAACCATGCGAGCAAGTCGGGTTCTGCAAAGGATTCAGCACCATCGACCAAATCCACACAATAACCAAGCTCATTGAGGTTTCTCGGGAGTTCAAGATGCCACTCTGTTTAACGTTCATTGATTTAAAGAAGGACTTTGATTCTGTTGAGACGGAAGCGGTCATTGAAGCCCTAGCCAATTAGGGCATTCAAGCCCAACACATCAAGATCCTCCGTGAGCTGTATTGCGGATTCACTACCAGGATCTCACCATTCTCCAAAGAAGTGATCATTTATGTCAAGAGAGGGTTTCATCAGGGCGATATTATTTCACCGAAACTCTTCAGTGCCACCCTTGAGAACATCATGCGACGACTGGAATGGGAAGGAATGGGAGTGAAGATAGATGGTCGGCAACTACACCACCTCCGCTTTGCTGATGACATTGTTTTAATAACACCAAACATCAGCCAAGCGGCACAAATGCTGGCCAACTTTGACCGTGAGTGTGGAAAGGTAGGACTACAGCTGAATCTTACGAAGACAATGTTTATGAGAAACAGCCTCGTTCCTGATGCCCCATTCGCTCTCAATGGAACGACCATCTCCGAATGCAACAGCTATGTGTACCTAGGTCGAGAAGTCAACATGACAAATGACCTGGCACCCAGGTCAGGAGGAAGAGAGCAGCTTGGAACGCCTTCAAGAACATCGAAGAAATAGCTAAGAGGATGAAGAACCCCGGCGGCTCCGGGCACATCTCTTTGATTCCATTGTTCTTTCTGCATTAACATATGCCTCAGAGACCTGGGCCCTATGCAAACAGGATGAGTATGCTATTTGGGTCTCCCAAAGAGGAATTGAAGGAGCTATGCTTGGAATATCACGTCATCCAGAGTTCTGACATCCCTCGACGATCAAGAATCAGGGATGCTGTCTCGTTTGCCAAGGTGTCAAAAATCAGATGGGCTGGTCACGTAATGAGATTTAAAGACGACCGCTGGACTAGAGCTGTTACCGACTGGATCCCATGGGATGTCAAAAGACTGCATGGCCGCCCACCTACCAGATGGTCAGACTTCTTCATCAAGATCATGAACGATCGGTTTGAGGCTCTTCATGTTCCCAGAGCAAACAGATGCCATTGGGCTACACTAGCATGCGACAGGGACAAATGTAGAGGTTACTGGCGCCTGCTCGAGCAAATCAACGACTAACGGGAAGTTAAGTGATTAAGTGATTAATGATTTTCAAATATCTTCTTTTTGTTATTCACTTCTAATCTAAATATCTTTCAAATGTCAAGCCTTTTAAATTTATTCTCTTTTGTTAATATCCAACTCAGTTTCGAATGGTCTATTCATTCATAAATTTTGAAATTGTTGGATTCATGTGTTTGGGTGCTTTATATATGTTAGATTCATATTTAAGATTTCTGATATTTTGTTCTTCTTTTTTAAAGTCCAGCCTTTTAGAGGTTGTCTGATTAGCAGTATTCTGTTGTAAGGCTCTAAATGACCAGTAGTTGTCTGGTAAGATTGAGGTTTTTATTTTTATTGTTGGATCTCTGCATGGCTAGGAGATGGCTTTCATTATAGTTTTTTTCCATATTAAACCATAACTTATAGTTTAGAATTTCTATGTCTAGTTATATATTTTTATTCTACAATTCCTCTAGGAACAGCTTTGTATTTTTCCCTCCCGTTTATGGGTAAAATTTTTTTCCATTTTTGCAGACCTGATATTTGAGCAATGATGAACATTACACAATCTATATGATAGAACACTGGATTTTTTCGTGTGCCTTTAAAGAATGTTGTGTTTTCATTCCTGCATTTTGTTTTCTCATTATTTAGGCCAAGATCCAGAGATTATCACAACAAGCTCCCGGGAGAGCACAAGGCAGAGTCTCCTACCCTGTGTCTGACTATCCTCGCCAGGGCCCAACAGCTGAAGACCTCCAGGCCCCAACCAAGGCCTTACTGGAGCCACTCTCCACACACTTGGATAAGCCTCAGACATAACAGAACTGGCAGAGGAACCCAGGTGTTTGGGACCCGGGGCTGAGATCTCCAAGCCTGCACGGTTTGGGACTGGACCTGTCAGTAGCCAGACAGTTACACCCTCCAACTGCCGTGTAACCCCAACAAAGGCCAGGATCCAGAGATTATCACAACAAGCTCCTGGGAGCGTGCGGCCGCATTTGCGGCCGCGTGACTATTTATTTAATTTTCTCTAAATTTTCAGGGTACCTTAAATATCCTTAAATATCCAACCCACACGGCAGAGCCTGGCAAGCTATCCGTGGTCTATGCCAAATAGACCAAATTGATATGCCAAATCCAGTAATAAATTGGATCTCATTTCCCTAACCCTGAATATACAGAGTCGAGAAGGATATGGAAGGAGAGGCTGATAAAACACCAAGGCAGACATAGGCTGCCAAAACGCAGAAAAACAAAAATGATTGTCTGTACTTTTAATGAGCGTATGCTGGCATCTACTGCATCCATTGAAGACCTTATGGTACAAGCACGAAAGATCAAGTACGACATCATTGGTCTAACCGAAACGAAAAGACATCAATCCCATCATGCTGTTTTCGACACTGGAGAAGAACTGTTCCTTGGAACATGTGATAAAAGAGGCATCGGTGGTGTCGGTATCCTTGTCAACACAAACTTAGTCACGAGCATTGATTCATTTGAATGCCTAACAACCCGAATCGGACGATTACACTTGAATAAATGTGGCTCACTACCGGCAGTTTCTATCTTTGTTGTCTATGCACCAACATCCAGTTATGGTGAAAAAGAAACTGAGAAATTCTACATGGAGCTGGAGAAATTCTATAAAGAAGGTCACACCTTCTACAAGATCATTGTTGGTGATTTTAATGCCAAGGTAGGACCAAGAAGATCAGTCGATGAACTCCACATCGGAACCCATGGCCTGGAATGGAACGAACAGGGTGACAGACTAGCTGAATTCATCATGTCAACCAAAACTTTCCATGGTAACTCACAATTCCAAAAGGCTGAATCTAAACGTTGGACATGGGAGTCTCCTGATGGACGGTTCCACAATGAAATAGACCACATCATATTCAATCGGCGGTTTTGCCTAACCGATGTTACTGTTGTCCCAAAATTCCAAACGGGATCAGACCACCGTCTTCTTCGTGCAAAATTCTACCTCACAGAACGAGGAGAAAAGAATGCAAGGTTTAAGAAGAGGACTCCCAGAACAACCACCAACTGGGAACTCTTTGGCTCTGTTGCGGCAACATGGGAAGATGCTGTCATTGACAACATTGATGAGGAATACGATCGAATGATTCAGCACCTCCATGATTGTGCAAGGAATGCCAAGAGAGAGATAACCACAAAAAACCGTCTTTCTTCGAACACTCTTGAACTTATTCGCCAACATGGCTTGGCACGTGCCTCAGGCAACCACAAGCAAACGTCCGAACTGGCAAAACAGTGCAGAAAAGCCATCAAGGATGACCTCAAAAACAGGAGAGCAGCAGTACTGGTAGATGCAGCAGAAGCTGGGAAAAACATTCGTAATGCCCGCCTGTCCTTCACCAACTACAAAACCAAGATGACTGCCCTCCGACATCATGATGGATCTATCACATCTTCCAGAAGGGCAATGGAGAAGATTATTCATGACTTCTACTCAGATCTCTTTAATAGCCACATCCACTTGCCCACATACCACATACCACATGATGGATATGTCGTTCCCAATGTTCTCCCTTCCGAAATCCAACATGCCATCTCGTCGGTAAAGAAACAAAGAGCACCTGGCCCAGACAAGATCAGACCTGAACACCTGAAGAACTTACCATCAGTACTCATCAATACATTGGCTCGACTCTTCACACGCTACCTGTCTGAATGCAAGGTTCCATCCCAATGGAAAACCAGCAAGACTGTACTACTATACAAGAAAGGAGACATCCACGACATTGGCAACTATCGCCCAATCTGCCTATTGTCTGTCATCTACAAACTATTCACTCGAGTCATCCTGAATAGGATTAGCAGAACACTAGATGAAGGACAACCATGTGAACAAGCTGGATTCCGAAAAGGATTCAGTACCATTGACCATATCCACACAATAACCAAGCTCATTGAGGTATCTCGGGAGTTCAAGATGCCGCTCTGTCTAACGTTCATTGATTTAAAGAAGGCCTTTGATTCTGTTGAGATGGAAGCGGTCATGGAAGCCCTAGCCAATCAGGGCGTACAAACTCAATACATCAGGATTCTTCGTGAGCTCTATTGCAGATTCACTACCAAGATCTCACCATTCTACAAAGAAGTAATCATCCATATCAAGAGAGGGGTTCGGCAGGGTGATACCATTTCACCAAAACTCTTCAGTGCCACCCTCGAGAACATCATGCGACGACTGGAATGGGAAAACATGGGAGTGAAGATAGATGGTCGGTAACTACACCACCTCCGCTTTGCTGATGACATCATTCTAATAACACCAAACATCAACCAAGCGTCACAAATGCTGAACGACTTTAACCGTGAATGTGGAAAGGTAGGACTACAGCTGAATCTTACGAAGACAATGTTTATGAGAAACAGCCTTGTTCCTGACACTCCATTCGCTCTCAACGGAACCACCATCTCCGAATGCAACAGTTATATATACCTAGGTCGAGAAATGAACATGATGAATGACCTGGCACCTGAGTTGCGCAGGAGGAAGAGAGCGGCTTGGAATGCCTTCAAGAGCATTGAAGAAATAACTAAAAGGACAAAGAACCTCCAGCTACGAGCACATCTCTTTGATTCCACTATTCTTCCTGCATTAACATATGCCTCAGAGACCTGGACCCTACGAAAACAGGATAAGAACACTATTTGGGTCTCTCAAAGAGGAATCGAAAGAAGTATGCTTGGAATATCACGATTCACTCAAATGAGAGATAGAATCCGGAGTTCTGATCTTCGTCAACGCTCAAGAATCAGGGACGCTGTCTCATTTGCCAAGACATCAAAAATCAGATGGACTGGACACGTAATGAGGTTTACAGACAACCGCTGGACTAGAGCCATTTCTGATTGGATTCCACGAGACATCAAAAGATCACGTGGACGCCCACCTATAAGATGGTCAGACTTCTTCGTCAAGACCCTAAATGATCGGTTTGAAGCTCTACATGTTCCTAAAACGAACAGATACCATTGGGCTACGCTAGCACGCAACCGGGATGAATGGAGACGATACTGGCACCCACTCGAATAAATCGATGAATAACGGGGATTAAGTGATTAAGTGATTATTTATATATTGGATAGTTCCTTGATGACTTCACATATGCTAAGCACTTAGTCTACTACTACATTATTAGTTTTTAGTTAGGTAAAAAGCCAATAATTTAGACTTTTTACAAACTGCATGGCAGGGCCAGAGAGAGTCCAGTGAGTAAGGTGCTTGCATTGCAGGTGTCTGATCCAGGTTTGATCTCTGGCATCCCATACGGTCCCCAGAGTCTTTCAGGAATAATCTTTAATGCAGATCCAGGAATAAGAACCCAAGCATTTCCAAGTTTGGCCCAACAACAACAACAAAAAAAACAAACACAAACAAACAAGAAAACTACAGTGCATTAGGAAAACATTTACTCTCAGAGTAATTAAGTCTCATGTTATGTATGCATTAATGACTCCTGAGAACTCTGTTCGGTGGTCCCATTTTTAGAAAACGTATCTACCTTAAATTACTTTAACTGAGAACACAAGATGTATGAATTTTGTTGGTCATTGTTATTTTTGGATTCATTTCTGGCTTCAAGAGGTATTCTTTGACTCATATATTGATAATTCTTCAGCAAAAAAGTCATGTAAAGGTCTGCATATATTTATGGTAAATTTATCATTGTTTATACCCTTCCTTACTAAATTATACCACAATAAATTCTAGTCACCTGAGTATCCTCAACATCCACTAATATTCTTTTCAGCTCAGTGAGCCTGCCAACCTCCGGATCATTTCTTCATTTACTGAAGTCTCAAACTGACTCTGAACTATAAACTGGAACAATTATAGGGCTGTCATCATTTTTCTGCTCACAGGGAAGATGGAAAATTTATTTGGTACCATTTTTCATTATCAATGTCTTAAAATGAAGAAATTTGTTTTAGCAGCTAAACTCCATAGGCATAAGTTATGTGACTGCTTTATTAGCATAAAATTTTCTTTTGAAATAGACACTTCTAAAGAAAAAGTTCTAACATAGTTAATATTTCATAATTAAAATAAAAGTAGCAAATACAAATTAAATGCTTACAACTATGCAATAAAATTAATTTCTTTCTTTCTTTCTCTTTCTTTCTTTACTTATTTCTTCCTTTCCTTCCTTCTTTCATTTTGTGCCTCACCCAGCAGTGCTCAGGAATTTCTCCTGGCTCTGCAATCAGAGATTATTCCTGGTGGGATCAGGGGACCATACAAAGTGCCAGAGATAGAACCTGGGATACCTGCATACTAGACAAGCACCTTGTTACTGTACTATCTCTCTGCCCACCAACATTACATATTTTTTCAAAGTTAATTTTGAAATTTCTCTTGCAAACTCTTCTAAAGCTGGTGCATCATCTTTGAAATTCTTCTATTACCCTACTTATTCAATCATCACATTAAAATTTAGAAGTTAATAAAATAAAAATTGATGAGTTTATTCATTTTCTGAAAATAAGAAAGATTACTTAAAATCTGATTATTTCCCATGATTTTACCTATTATTTTCTCAATTTTTGGTCATTATTAGTTTTTATAAATTTTTAATCTTATAGGAGATATAAAATTGATGCAGATATCACTAGTAAAGTACAAAGAGGAACTGATAAGCGTTAAATATAAGAACAAGTAAATAAGAAAAAAATCCTAAAATATAGACTATAATTCCATTTCTCACATATGATTTGAGACTAACCTAATAATGTCCACTAGGTTCTACTCTTCTAGCTCCCAAACTTTTGTTTGCCTTTTCCTTTTCATAAGTTTTCCTATTTTTCCTCGGAGCAGAATTTTTGTCATATTCATTCATCTCTCACCAGGTATTTTAAATCATGTCTTTCCTCCCCCCCTCCTTCCCTCGCTCCCTACCTCCCTTGCTCCCTGCCTCCCTCCCTCTCTCCCTCCCTTCTTCCCTCCCTCCCTTCTTTCCTGCTTCCTGCCTCCCTGCTTTGGTTTCCTTCCTTCTCTCCCTTGACTCTGAGCTCAGTGATCACTACTGCTGGTGCTTGGTGAATGTGAGAGAAACGAGGTCTGTCATCTGCCAGCTAAATACCTCAGTGCGACTACCATCACTCCAGGTCCAGTCTCTACTTTCTTTAAGAAAATTTCCTGTTATCTTCTTAGGCTTTATAATACATTTATGGGTCTATTTCCTCATCTCAATATAGCCTATTTCCTAGTTCTTCCAGGCCAAATGATATTTCAGCAGCTCTCCATTGTCTCACCATTGAATCCTATTTGTAAAGCTGAGTAGAGCAGAACAGAGCAGTATTTATTCTTATTAAGATTCTTTTCTCCACAGGTTAATACTATAAAATAGTCAGAAATGGAGAGTTTGTTTTCATTTGACTGCATCCTTATTAGTATCAATTAATGTGACCAGCTTGAGAGCCATTTCATTCCAAGAAATGTTATCCAGGAAAAACAATGTGCATGATTGGCTTAATGTATTGACAGATTTGCTAATAATAAACCTTGTGATTAATAACTAGTTAGATCAAGTAGGAAAAGGGTAAACTTAGAAGAAACTTCAGTAGGACATTCTTATTTTAGGATAACTTATAATATTATAAGTATATAATAATATATAATAGTAGCACTGTAGCACTCTCGTTCATTGATTTGCTCAAGCAGGCACCAGTAACATCTCCATTATGACACTTGTTGTTACTGTTTTTGGCATATCAAATATGCCATGGTTAGCTTACCAGGCTCTGCTGTGCAGCTGGGATACTCTCGGTAGCTTGCTGGGCTCTCCGAGAGAGGTGGAGGAATTGAACCCAGGTTGGCCGCATTCAAGGCAAACGCCCTACCTGCTGTGCTATTGCTCCAGCCCAATAGTATGTTGAAATATATGATAATAGATATATGATAAATATTATGTATATGTTGTGAAGCAAGATTCTCCGGTTAATGTCATGCAAGCTATCAATTATCTGAGCACAAAATAGTGATTAATAACCATGTCGATACACCTTGCTAAGGACGCCCAGAGACAGACATATGTCTTTCTTACAGACAGCCCAGGTACACTGATTTCAGGGTCATATTTCGACTAAGAAATGCTTACACATCACATTAATGGCCCAGATAACTCTGTTCACCTGTGTTTCTTCATTGCTTGCATGTTGACATCATTATTTAAATTTGATACTAGTTTTGGCGGGCAAGATATTCACCTACCAATGTTATCCATGCCTTAAAACCCAGCACCTGTATATGCATTAGATTGGAGGGCACAGAGGAACCAAGAGTGCAGAGTTAATTAAGATAGCAACTAATTTTTGCTAAGG